AGACGCTAACAGAGACTTAGTATCTCCGGTTCTGGAGTCTGGGCCATCGTGTCACAGGACCACAGTCCCCCCGGAGGCATGGGGGCAGGACGTGTCGCAGGCTCCGTCCTTCCCGGGCGCACGCGGCATCTTCCCGTGCGTCTTCCGCCCGTCTTCCGTCCCCTGCTCTGCGTCCCCTTGGACAAGGACACCCGTCCTGCTAGGTCAGGGCCCACGCCCGTGACCTCGTCTTCCCTTGCTCGCGACCGCAATGACCCTCTTTCCAAACAAGGTCACGTGCCGAAGGGTTGGGGTTCGGGCTTGCACACATCTTCGCCGCGAGGGGCACAACTGAGCCCCTAACGCACAGGGTAAAAGACCAGTGCGTCCCCCGGGCTGAAAGCAGGAGACGGCGATCTGGAGAAGGAAGCTCTTCCCGACTTGTCTGTTCTGACCTCGTGCAGAGAGAAGGTGATTCCCCAGCAGTGACAGGGCTTAACGGACAGCGAGTGCTAAGTACTAAGTTCGTGTGCTGGATTGAAGGCCACAGGCTTCTTTACGTTAAAGACTGGTTCCCGACGCCGACGCCGGGTGCCTGGGTGTGCGACAACCTCCCTCCCTCTGCCCTCCTCCCCTCCCTCCTCCTTCCTCCTTCCGTTTCTTTCGAACACCTACTGTCACTATCATTCCTGATGGTTTTAAATGACCAGTTGTACAACTGCAAATTCCCGTACGTGCCTCTTAGGAGATGCAACAATTTCATCGATGAGAAGCCTTCAGATGGGGCTCTTCCGTGTGCCCAGATTTTTAAAAGGACGGGAAGCTTGTTGCGAACCCCGCAATGCCAGACGGCCCGCGGACTCTCCCTCCTTCCGGATGCGTGAGGCTTTGAAACAATCTTTCCCGTGGCTGGTTGGCAGGTTGACCTTTCTCCCGACGGCCTGGCCAGCGCGCGCGGGGTGTCCGAGGGAGACGGCAGTGATGTGATGGAGCGGGAGCCGGCGGAGCCCAGACCCGGCCCGACGGGCCCGACCTGCGCAGGCCTATTGATTCCAGCAGCCCGTCCTAGCGAGGCTCGCACCCTGCCCTCCGCTCCCCTCCCCTGGCCGGGCCGCAGGGACCAGCGTCGGGAGGGAAGCCGCTCATCACGGGCACGGCCGCTCTCCTCGCCTCGACATCCTTCTCCCAGCTCAGCCCCACACCCGCCCTGCCCTCGTTGGGTCTTGGCAAGAAGGTGATTGACAGGAAACTAGGGGGCGAGGTGATGCCCGCTGCTCAGGCTGGGGGCGCTGGGCCCCCGTGGGGGAGAACGAGGCGGGCACGGACGCCGGCGGGCGGCCGACGAGGCACGGCGTGCAGGGCAGCCTCGGGGCTCCCGGGGGCCAAAGCTCACAGCACGGAGCCCAGAAGAGGCCAGTCCCGAGGGTGTCCGTGTGCACAGGAGAAGAGCACGTGTGCAGTGAGCGGGGGTCCGGCTCTAACGACTTTCAGTCAGCAGCCACAGCTGCCCCAGGTTTGATCCGGGCAGTGCGGCCGGCCTTGGCTGCTGGTGGCTGGTGGAGACTGGGGGAGGCCGGGATAGGCCAGGGGGGGCTGGGAAGGCTGGGGGAGGCTGGGGGAGGCCGGGGG